GGGGGGGTGCTCAGGGCACTGCGGCCTCTCGGAGAGCTCCTTGCATAGAAAACGGTGGACGATGTCTTTGCTTTTTTGCCTTTTTGTAATAGTGAAAAGGCTTTTTGGATTTCCTTCGGCTGAGGCATTATTGTAGGTCTTTTGTAAAGCAAAGCAGTGCAAAGCGGACTTCTGGAAAGCAGGGGATACTGGCGGCAGGGGAGGTGGTGTCCCCGTCGAGTGGAATTGTGCACGTGGTAAGGCTCCTGTGGAGCTACTGGGAGATGAAGGAAATCGACCCTTCCGTGGTCCAAACAGGGAAACTGGTCCGTGGACCAGGCCAGGTAGGGTTGCACCTCCGGGCTGGCCCTGGAGCAGGTGACAGCTCCAGGTTTCCTGGCGTCCAACGGCTCCTTCTCTGCTCTCTGGGGTCTCAGTTGTGCCACCTGGTGAACGACAGTGGCCCGCAGTTCTGAGGACTGTTACGCAGTGAGATACGTAGAGGCACCTGAATACATTCTGAAGACAGACGCAACTCTGCCGGCCGACTAGTGTCCCCCTTCCTGTCCCTCCCTCAGGAGAGGGTCTGCCGTGCTGACACCTTACCCAGGTTTACAGGTGACCATCTGGGCCTCATCCTGACTGTGGCTGTGAGGACATGACCTCTGGCCTCTCGGCATCCAGGCCCCAACAGACGGATGACGCTGTGTCATCGGGCTTCAGCTGCCCTGGGGAAGCCAGATGGGGCCCCACCCTGGACCTAACAAGGAAAGGGCGACTTGTGCCACCGTTTCCAGACCCCCTGGCAGAACATGAGTAAAAAGCCGATCCCAGCACCGCCCTCTGTGAGCGAGCAACCCACGGTCCCACACGGAAGGTGGCCTGTCGCCGGTGGTGTTTATAAGAGCTTGCTGCAATCCCCCACCCCCATTGCTCCGGCTTTAGAGAGGGCGGGGGCCCAGCGGACAGGCGGTCCCTGGGTCTTTGCTAAACCCGAGCTCAGACGGACGCAGGAGCACGAGCAGAGCCAACTCACATGTTTAAACAGTTAAGAGGAAACCGGGCTCCGCAAGGAACGGCAACCCTGGATTTAGCCGGGGTGAATTTTCCTTCCCAGGGATTTCCCGTCCCTTTTCTGGATGTTTCTATCTATCACACGTTCCCTGGCAGTTGGTTTTAAGGCCATCAACTGTGCGGTGAAAGAAAGCCTTACACAGACGGTCCTCCGGCTGAGCTGCTCACGCATCACGGCTGCTGAACGGGGTCGACCCAGAGCCAGGCTTAGAGGACCAGCCCCCGTCTCTGCCCGTCTTTGGTGGAAGGAGAGCCCATGCCTGTAGACGGGGCTTAAGGAACACCCAGGCCCAGAAAGGCCAGCACACACCCCAAGGACTGCCTGGGGGGCGGGGACAATAGCACTGGTGGGGGGGTAGGTCCTTAAGGAATGTAAAGTAAGTGAACCCAACAGTCGACCTCCTGCAAGTTCTTAGACTGCAGTTAAAATTTAACAATTTTTTTTTATGTAAATCATCTGGTATGCTCAATTGCATGGGGTGGGGGGCGGGGGGGCACACAAAGAGGGAACAATGGGCTGGGATTAGATAATTTACTTAGTGCGAAAATTCCAGGAAGTGCGTGTTGATCTGGGCCTGGATCTTGTTACTTTTTAGTTCAAATCTAAATCTTTATCTTCCTCGTGCAGTTGAGAGGACATTTTTTTTTACGTAGTCATTTTTACAGTTGTAATTTTTACCCCCTTTCATCAAATAGAGCCTGTTAGATTAGTAGCTCTTAGCACAGAGATGAAAATATTGGTGGAGCCCATTGGGCCCCTGGGTTGTTTATCCTAACGGAGCAGGCTTTGATCTGAACAGATTTCCTGGGGTCTGGAGGAGATGACCTAATTCCTGTCTTATCCGTCTCCACTTTCTGTGAATCTCAGATTGCGCTTTGCTGTGGAGCCCTTTGAAATTCCCTTTACATTTTTTCCCACTTTGTTACCCCCTCCGACGGCGGTTTCATTTGGGGCAGAACGTGTAACTCCCAGTAAAGACTCCGATGCTTTATTTTTCTAACAGAACTGCAAAGTTGTAACAGAGTGGCAGCTTTTTTTTTTTTTTAAGTTCTCCTGTTCTTGACATTTCACGACACGCCAACAACAATAAGCAAATAATCTCCTGCTCAAAATTTATGTGGACGGCACATCATTTAGGGTTTTCTGCAGGGACACACTTTTTTTTTCCCCCCTTAACTTAAAAAGTTTGTCCCCTCGCCCCCCATCAAAGTCAGGTGACTGAAGCCCCCCCCGTCCAATGTCGATTGAGATAGGAAAACTCAAAGCTCGGGGAGCCTCAGGAATCTCCCACCGGCCTGCATCTGTGGGAACCTGTAACTCCACCGCCCCCCCCGCACCCTCCCCAGCCACTGGCATGAGGGGTCTTGGGCGGCTTGAGTCTGTCATTGGTCTCTTCCCCTTTTTCCTCCCTGGGTCCTCATCATTCACAAAACTCCTCTTCTGAGGATCTGTTCTAGAAAGAAGGAAGCCCTCTGGGTGTGCGTAGGGGTGGGGGTGAGGAGCACTGGGGAGGGAGGGGCTGGAGAGAAAAACCACCAAGAATGCGGGGAAGGAAAGACACAGGAAGAGAAGGGACAAGAGGGGGACCGACAGCGGCCCAGTGAGACAGAGAAAAAGAAAAGCAGTTACTAAAAAAACCCAGAATTAAAAAACAAAACAAAAACAAAAATGGACACATGGCTCACATTTGTAAATTCTTTGTGATGGGCACAAGGGGGGTGGTTCCATGATTTGTTGCACTTTTCTGTGTCTTTATAATTCATGTTTTTAAAGGAGAAACTGGGGGACAGGTCACCAAGATGAATATTTTCAGCTCAGACACTGTTGTGAACCTCGCTGCACTCCTTCCAGGCCGGCACAGCCCGGGACGCTCGGCTCCTGGGGATCCCAGCGCTCCTTGGAGGCACCTGAACTTTCGCAAGGGGAAAAGACAGACAGGCAAGCGAGGCGAGGCTGGGCGGGAGGCAGTGAGGGGGTGGGGGAGGTGCCTTACGTCGTCTGCCTTAAAATAAGCTCCGTCGCTTTATAAATATAACCATTTCTCTCCTTCAGAGGAGCCCGGCCGAAAGGCTGAGTGTCCTTGTCACACGGCGGGAGGAGGCAGGGCGGAGGGTGATTTCTGGCTTTGGAAATGCGCAGGTGACGGCCAGCGGATGAGAAAGGTCCCCCGGTAGCTGGCTAGGCAGGGACAAAAGACGCGAGGGCGCAGAGCGGCAGGCGGAGACCCCGACGCTCCGACCTTCCTAAAGGCTGCGAGTGCCTCGAAAGTCTAATTGCCCCCCTTCGCTTCGCTTTCAGAAAACCCGAGAAGGGAGAGAGGTTGGTGGTTAGCGGAAAAAGAAACTCGCCTGGCCCCCGCCCCGGACCGCCCGCCTGGCGGAAATGGACGCGCAGCCCGCGGGGGCGCAGGGCCGCGACACTGCGCCCGCTGGAGTGCGTGCGCGGGAGCCCGGGAGGTGGGGAGCGCGCGCGCTGCGGCGACAGAGGGGCGGGAGAGCGGGGTACAGCTGCTGACCCTGCCCTCGGGGTTCGGCCCACTGGGCTTTTGGAAAGGCGGAGGAGGGGCAGGGCTCGGGCTGTGAGCCTGCTTCCTTCGGTGTGGCCAGTGGCCCTCTGACCTCCCCCCCAGCCCCCAGCAGGTCTCCAGTCTCCGTTCCGGGCGCAGGGGCTACTTCTGAGAGAAGCGTCCGGACCCTTACCACGTGGGTGTGGGCACTGGGTCCACGTTGCGCCCAGGCATGGGAAAGGGCTGGACGCCCCCTTAGGATCGCGTCGATCAAGAGCTTCTAGCCAGAATTCCGGCCTTCTCTCCCTCCGCTCCTCCCCACTCTTGAGCAAAAAGGCGGCTTGGCCCGGCCTGGAGAGGCTCAATGGAGAAACGCCGCCCCTTGAATGTCTGCGTGCAGCAACGTCCCAGACTCTGCAGCCATGCACGCCCCCATCCCTGCCCTCTCCTGGTTCAGGGGTGCCCACAGCCGCACCGCCCGGGGCCTGGGCTCAGCGCCCACCTTCCAGGAGGCCGGCCTCACCCCCAGCTGAGCTGGGGCTTCGGGCGCCCCCTGGGCGTGCAGACACCGGGTCCCCAACGCTTCTCCCTGCCGTGGGAGGTGCGTGGGTGCAGAACCCTCCGCTGCTGGTGGTTCGCCACCTCCGTGGCGGAAAGAAGTGCGCCTACCCCTCTGGACAGGGACCTTCACCCAGTCTCCTTTGCTCCCCCGAGAGAGGGCTCAGGACGAACACATGAGCCTGTGGAACTGAAGGGAGAGAGGGAGAATCAGCCTGAATTTTGATGATGCAACATTCACGTCGGTTCCACAAATCCTTGGTAATGGACTTTTCCTTTCAAAAAAAAAAAAACAAACCAAACCAAAACAAAAAAAAACACGCACGTGTTTCAACGCCTACATGACTAATTGAATAAAGCACACGTTGTTGACCTCTCTGGGCTGCGGCGGGTTCCGAGTCAGGTTATGTAACCCCTCTGCCTCCGGCACTGTGCAGCAACGCTGCTTCCTGCGGCCCGAAAAAAGGCAGCTGTGTCCAGGGAAGTGAAACCAGAACAGCTGGACTGAAGCTGGTCTGAATGGGCACCAGTGTCCCCCTTAGGGACACAGACCTGTGTGGGCAAAGCCTCCAGGAACAGCTCTGCATTCTATTTCCCCCTCTTTTTTTTTCTTGGGTGGGGGTTTGTGGGAAGAGTGGCCAAACAAGGAATAGTTATTGGAAAAATATCTAGATCCCTGAAATAAAAAAATAGAAAGAAAAACCACAGGCCCGTGCAAACCCGTTTCTGCTGTGCCTTTTACAATTCCTTACGTAGAGAGAAACATACACATTCACATATATAATTTACGGGTGTCTGGGGAGAGGTTAAAATACATTTCAGGGCCTGGCTAAATAGAAACTGCACTTTAAAAACACAGACACAGTATTTTGTTTTATCTGTTGCAAAAAAAAATGTATTTGATTACTTGAGTAAAATTACAGTATCTCTGTTGTTAGTAAGTATTAAATGTTAAAGAAATTTGACCCCCCCAGCTTTCCTTTCAACTTTCCAAGAAAGTGCATGTAACAGTCCAATTTTTTTTTCTTCTTCCATACCTAATACAAAATAAACCAACGCTATACCTGCTCTCTTGATCAAGAAGCATTTGCTCTTGGAAGGAACATATGTACATTTTGATGAACGTGATATTTCTGACTATGTATACGAGAGCATCTACCGTTTCCTCACTGAAGGTTGTTCAAGATGCTATACGTAGCAGCACTGTGAAATTCCAGCACACGTTTGCTATTGCGAATATACCTACAAGGCAAAATGTTACGTCTCAGTTTCCACTACCAAAACAACACTTGTATTTTCTCTAAAGAGTTCTGCGTGCTTATTACTGTACAGAAACCTATGGACATTGAGGACGACTCAAGTAGAAAGCACAATACAAATAGCAGTTCGGAACGGAAATGGTTAAATCTACAAAAAAAAAAGCGCAGGTTGAGTTTTAGAATTAAAAAACAAAACAAAAAACAAAACAAAACAAAACAAAACAAAAAAACCCAAACCTTTCAAAGAACCACACTCAATCAGTCTGTACTTTTTTAGTCCTTTTCCTTAATTCTGTTTCGAAAGATCAGACCATGTGTTTGCTGAGAAAACGTTCCAGCAGGATCAAAGTGTACGTTTATATACAGACTTTATTAGAGATCTAATATATCACGGAGGCATTGCATCAACACCAGATTCATATTAAACTGGATATAGAAAATAAGTTAATGCCGATTAAGACCGCCTAGCAGGGCAACTTGTGATTGCCATAAATGTTACAGCAAGTTTACGCACTCCTAGTCCATTAGTATTTAGTCCCAAATACAGAAGACCAAAGTTAACGCTTGCATTCGGTTTGCAAAGCAAGGGTTATACCACTAATAAATAAGCTTTCTTAGAACTCTAGAAGTTGAACAAGGTACAAAAAGAATGTCTTCGTGATGTGGTTGGTCGGTGATCCGGGGGTGGGGGGCAACCAGAAGGTAGGGAGGGGGTGTGGGGCCGAGGAGGGGGAGGCAACTGAGGGCCTGGGTCCGGACAGGGACGCTCCTTCTCTGGGAAGAGTCGCTTTAACTTGTGACGATCTCCTTGCTGTCCTCCACGAAGCGGGTGAACCGGAAGCTGGTGGCGTTCTCGCTGCCTGCCATCTTCTCCAGGCCGGCCAGCGGGGCGCTGGGCTCCGAGCTGGGGAGCTTCTCCAGGTTGCCCGTCAGCCCGCTCAGGGGCGAGCTGCTCCCGCTGCCCAGGCTCCCGGGCACCGGGGGGAGGCCCCCGTTCTGGATGACGGAGATCTCGTTGGCCTTCATGGCCAGCCCGTTGGAGAGCGCCGCGGCGTACTGGTTCCAGAAACCGGACGGATCTCCGCTCCCGGACCGGGCCGCCAGGTCCTTCTGGAACAGCTCCGGGAACTTGACGGGGTTGCCTCCCAGAAACGTCATGGGGCCGTCCACGGAGAGCCGCCGGCCCCGGCGCGCGGGGGTGCTGTTCCACATGTGTGTGCCCATGTGCACCTGAGAGGGGGGAGGGCGAGACAGAACAGGGAGAGAGAGGGAGGGAGAAGCTTAATAGGTGACTCGGTTTCAGCGCAGATCCCGACAACACTCAGCAAAGCAAGTGGCCTCGGTGTCTATTCTCATTACGGGCCAGACGGCGGAACGGGGCGGGAACCGGACCGTCCACTCTGAAGCCAGTAATGACCTGTTCACTGCCTGTCACCCAGGGCCGCCTCGGCTCTCCCTGGGCCGAGACGCCTTACTTACTCCTTTTTTATTACCCGCATTTAGCTTATGATGGCCTCCCGCGAGCCAGTCAGTCGCAGATAGCTCCTTGCAGGGTTAGAATTGTTATGTCCACTCTCATTGCCATGGTAAGTATTGTATCTGACACCCTTTACCCTATAAATGTCCTTTTCAGACGGGAAGAAGGGACCCCTCGCTGATTGCCCATCGGAGAGCCCGTGCGTGGAGAGAAAGGCCAGAAAGTAATTATTCATCTCACATTACTGGCAGCAATCTCGAGAGGAATGCTCTGTCAACAGAAAAATGTACACAGTCAGAGTGCTCAACTGTTGCTCTAGAACTTAAGCATATTTGCTTTATTTCCAACACATATCAGTGGGACGTGTTGTCTAATCAATTATCATAAGGCCCATTAGCCGAGGAGTGACGTGATTGTTTTCGGAGAAACAGGCCGCGCTGGCCTGCATGGTTATGGAGAGGAGATGCATGGGCTGGGGAGAACTGTAATTATTAAGTGATCCGGGCAGCCCACAGGCCCCACGGCGGCTTTAATCAATACCCCATGGCAACGCCGGGCTGTCTTCCTTGGGAGGTGACGCCATTCATTTGGTGCACTTAGCGAGACAACGGAGACGGGCCGCTGTGTCGCTTAGGCACCAAAGTATTTATTCAACGCGCGCTGACCTGCAACCAGCCACGGCCCGGCCCGGTCCCTGACGGGGTCTTGACCCACCGTGTCACCACGGCCTGCCGCGGGCAGCAGCTTCCTTGCAGAGCTCTGTCTCCCGGGGCGTTTGGGCCGCTGAGCCTGGGGTCGGGGCTGAGAGGGGAGGCTGGGGGGGGGGGCGGGGAGAAGGCCCGGGTAGGCAGAGAGGTACCTTGAGATTGCCTTTTGTGGTGAAAGCTCTTCCACAAATAGTACAAGCAAAGGGCTTCTCTCCAGTGTGAGTTCTCTCGTGGATCTGCAGGGCACTGGACGAGGAGAAGGTTTTGCCGCACGTGTTGCAGTAGTGCTGTTTGGGCGTTCTCCTGGGCAGGGCCGGCAGCAGAACCGGGGACGTGGTGGAGGACGACAGCGGCCCCGGGGGCACGTGACTGGCCGCGGGGGCGTCCTTGCTGTCCTGAGGGGTCACGTGCACGAAGCCGTTGACCTCTGTTTTGATGAGAGATGACAGGGAGTTGGCGGGGATCACCGCCGAGTTCTGATTGGGGCCGAGGTTGGAACTGGGCTCGAAGAGCTGGGACGGGAGGTCTCGCATCTGATGTGTCAACATGTGCTGCTTCAAATTACCCTTGGTGGAAAAGCCGCGGTTGCAGACTGTGCAAATAAACGGTCTCTCTTTGGTATGACTTCTGTAGTGGATGTCCAAGGCACTCTGACAAGCAAAGGTTTTGCCGCAAATGTCGCAAGCAGTGTTTTTAAATTTACCCCGGTCTCTGAAAGGGAAGAGGATCCCCAGAGCATCTTCTTTGATGATCTTCTCTGGGTGGCTCGATGTCAAATCCAAGGCCCCGCCGTTCACCGGGGTGGGGGACAGACCGTTGGCGAACTCGCCGGGGACCGCCCTCGGCGGCTTCTCCTCCACGCCGGGCGACTTGTGGGATTCCTGGGTGCTGTTGGAAGGGGACAGGGCCTGCATGGAAGAGGTGGACTCGGACATGGTCGGGCTGCCGGCGCTCTGGCTCTCCACGTCGCCCCCCACGGAGGACGAGTCGTTGGTCAGGACGTCCCCTTCCACGGACCCGTTCTCCACCGACTTCAGGCTGGCCTGCAGCTGCTCCGCCAGGCCGGCGTTGATCATCTTCATCTGATTCTCCAAGGCGGCGATGCTGGACATCTCCAGGGGCAACGGCGAGGAAGACAGGCTGTCCTGGGACGCGTCCGCCGACCTGGGCGTGTCGGGGATGCTGCCCTCGGGACAGTCCTCCATGTTTTCGTCGGAGAAGTTGTCTAAGTCGTCGAAGTTCTTCTCGTCGAAGGAGCCCGTGTCCGACTCCATGGACTCGGGGTAGCCGTCGGGGACGGGGGTGTTGGGGATCTGGCCGCCCATGTGCATGCGGATGTGCTGCTGTAGCACCACGGCGTTGGTGAACTTCTTCTGGCAGATGGGGCAGGAGTGCTGCACCCGCAGCGGGGGCATGGCGCGGTGGACGCTGTAGTGGGTCTTCAGGTTCCCTTTCGTGGTGAAAGCCCGGCCGCAGATCTTGCACTTGAAGGGCCTCTCCCCGGTGTGTGTCCGGTAGTGCATCTTCAGGGCGCTCTGGCAGCTGAGGACCCGGTGGCAGATGATGCACTCGTTGGGGTCGGTGGCCTTCTTGTCGATGTTCTCCACCAGCTGCTGCAGCTTGGACGTCTCCGAAGCCTGGGCTGCTGAGTCCAACAGTCCCCCGAAAGGAAACTTCGCCTTGAACTGCTCGGACATGAGCGGCAGCAAGGGGTTGGTGAACGCGGCGGCGCTGGTGGGGCCGCCGTCCACCGCCGCCGCCGCCGCCGGGGAGCTCAGGGTGCCGCTGCCCGTTGCCGTGGCCGAGCTGGTGACCACGCCGCTCTCTTCGCTTTTGCCACCAGAGGGTGGCACGGCGGACCCTTCCGCTTCCTCTGAGAGCCCACCCAGGTTTCGTGTGGCGGGGTCTGGGGCCCCAGAGTCACTTTTGACAGAGCCCGGGGGGCTGGCGGTGCCGTGGCCGATGGGGATGGGGGCTGGCTCTTCGGTCTTGATGAAGGAGGCGAGGCTCGGGAGGGTCGGGGGCAGCGGCAGGCCCACCGAGGTGGTGAGCGTGGGCAGGACCGGCTTGGTGTCCAGCCAGCTGGTGACTGGCTTCTCCGGGGGGATGGACATGCCGTAGGGGATGCCGGTACTGGTGGGGATGTTGTCCAGATGCTCAGGCACGGGGTAAGGGTTCATCTGGATGTGAGGGTACTTCTCTTTGTGGCGCTGAAAGTGGACTTTGAGGTTGCCCTTGGTGGAGAACCTGTTGCCGCAGATGTTGCACTTGAACGGCCTCTCGCCCGTGTGGGAGCGCAGGTGGATCTGCAAGGCACTGTCGCTCCCGAAGACCTTCGCGCAGAACCTGCACTTGTGTTTGAAGAACGCCTCGTCGGAAGCGCTTTTCGCTTCGAAGGCGGTGACATTTGGTGGCTTGCTTTTTCTTTGCTGGACCAAGGCAGACACGGGGTTTAAATCCTCCGCGGTTGTTCCGACGCTGGGCAGAGGGCTGGGGAACACGGAGTTAGCAGGGGCCGGCTGAGGTAGAAGTGGATTAGACGCAGGACTCAATAAGCTGCTTATTGCGAAAGCTGGTGAAGAGGATGCCGAGACCACCGGGCTGCTGGCGTGGGGGGCGCCAGCGCTCGAAGCCGCTTTTTCCGAGGACGGGGTGGTGACTGCCGTCGCCAAGATGTTGACGCTGGGGGAAGAGCCGCCGTGGGATGGGAGGACGGCGCTGCCAGAGCTGCTCTGAGGTAGCTGGACCGGGGGTAACTGTTTCACGCCGCCAATGCTGGCAGACTGGCTGGCCAGGCTCTGTGCTAATCCAGCTGCAGCTGCCAGCTGCTGAGATAAATGGGAACTTAGTGTGGACAAGGGGTTGGCAGATGTTCGTAAAGTACCTTGAGAAGGACTCGAAGATGTTGGCAAGTCTGCGTTCTGAGAGGCCAACAGCAATATTTGGTGACGAATCTGTTCGATCAGCTGCAGCTGGTGGATCTGCTGCTGCTGCAGCGCCAAGAGCTGCTCCATGAGCGCCGGGACGGCCAGCTTGCCGCCCGAGGCCCCGCCGCACCTCGCTTCCTGGGAGAACTGGGCCACCGCCACCTTGGTGCTCTGCAGGTTCTCGATGATGACGTTGCTGTTGATCACGGAGAAGTTGCCCAGTGTCGTCAGGTCCCCGAGTTGAGGTAGAGAGGTTGTGATCGCTGAGGTACCTGTGGAGGAGCCGCCGGTGCAGCTGGGGGGGCCACCGGCGTGGCCGCCACCCAGGCCGCCGCCGCCACCGCCGCCCTTGCCGGCCCCCGGGGCCGCCACCTCCATGGGCTCGTCCCCGTCGTGGAGCCCGTGGTGTTCCGGAAGCTCGCCGCACTCTACTCGGTCTGTCTTGTTCGCCGTGTCCCGCGTCTGGTCGCCGGGGTTCTCGGGAGGGGGGCTGGGGGAGAAGGTCTCGCGTGGGGAGGCCGGACTCTCATTGACGATGAGAACTAGTTGGTTTTTAGTACAGCTCTTCTTGTGGAGCAGAAGATCAGATAACTCGAAGAACTCGGCGCAGCACCGACCACAGACGTGGGCGTCCTTGCTCTTGGTGCCACGGTTCGGCTGTCCCTTCTCTGTGTGTCCTGCAAGCATCAAACGGTGCAGGGTTAGGGAGGGGGCCGGGACGCACAGCCACCGTGGCTTCAAAACGCAAGACGGGGTGGGGTGGGCTGGGGGGTGATCAATTGCTTCCCACCTGCGAAACTCAAAAAACTGTCACCCCAGAAAACCAGTCAATAGTACCTAAGAGTGTTCATAATTACAGCTCAAGGATATCGGAGGAACCCCTGTCCACCTGGTATCTCAGAGAGTCGTGGCCTTCAGATAATCCATCAAAATATAAAATGCTATGAGCGGAAGACAGGGGTGCATAATGAAATTCCATAGCTAACCATCGATTTCCAATACTCTGCACACCTTATTGTGTGCTCATCCACAGAGGGTCCAGCAACCACTCGGAGGACTTATTAGGCCCCCGAGTTTCTGTCAACCTTATTCCTTTTCAACCGATTCAGAGATATCTGTGACAGCCCGGGCTGTCACTGAACTAATTTGTAGTCATTCGGGTTCCAGTCAGTTGTTGACAAGGGTCGGGGGGATGTGTGTCACCCGGCGGAAGACTGACAACTCGGAGATCACCTCCAGCCCCTACCTAGAACCCAAGCTAAGTCAGAGCCGCGACACACACACACACACTTGAGTCACACCAGTAACAAGTCCTCCCCGCGGTTTCGCAAGACCCAGTTGGATACAAAAGAGAAAGCAACACACCCACCCACCCACCCACCCACCCACACACTGAAGAGAAACGCAACAATCATAACCCCTCACGAAGCCTGCCTGGCGTCTATATATCACCCTGCGGCATGTTTATTTTTAAAATTAAAGAATGCAACCCTGGCTACCACTCCACTGATCAAGGAATATATATCACCAAGGCTCCAAATGGCAACATTATGCCTCTAAATATTTCATCAAAAGTGCTCCTTCTATCTGTAAAGCTGGCGCAAGATTTACATTCCCGATTAAACACCAACTTAAAGAAAGATGTGCGGTGGAGGGGGAGCGGAGAAATAATTCTTGGTTTAGAGTTTTGCAAAAGCTCCGCCTTCCTCCTCGTCTTTAAAAACAGTTTGCTCTTAACTGTTACCGATGGTTTAACAGATTGTCCTGAACTTTTCATTATAAAAATCCTTTCATTTTGTGTTTGTTTCCACTGGTTGCTCAGATTTCTTCTCCCTAAGATCCATTTGTAAATTCAACAGAAAAATCTCCAGCTCGGAGCTCTCGTCCTATTCAAAGGCGGGCTGGCGTCCCATTGTCTCCCAGCATGGGGAACACCAACTCCTGTTGTACCGATGGTGTGTGGCCATCTCTGAAGGCTGTGGAAGAAAAAAAACTGTTTAATTCAAGGATTACCTCCCTGCATGCTTTTCTGCAGGACTGAGTCAGATAATAGTTAGTTTCCATGACTTCCAAATTGCATCTCCCAGAAAACTTGCAGGGGGAGAGGGAGGAAAAAAAAAAAACCCTAATTGTAAATCTGAATAAATGCAAAATCAAAATGCTGCTTTTTTTCCCCCCCCCCGGAAAACTTAAAGAGTCAACTCGAGAGAGCCAGGCATTTGCCTTTTTGCAGGACGCATCCCCAAGCAACAACAACAAGAAGCCTAGAGTCGTTTTTGTATTCCAGAAAAGATAATTAATACCCAGAGACGAACTTCTGAAAATTCCTCGAGTCTGTTCGCCTTGAGTGGTGCCGAAGCTGATGAGAAACGCTGGTCAAGTGAATGCACACTTTCTTCCCTGGGAATGTTATTTGAGTAGCTAAGTTATACTTAACAAGCTAGCATTCCTAATACCCACCTTTTAATCTCCAGGAGGGTAGGGTGCAAAATGCATTCACAATACCGAACGAATCTCAGTGGTAGCAGAAAATACCAATAATGATTCTGTTCTAATTTAATGTTTAATCATCCTAATTGGCCCCGGAATCCTGTGCACAGTGGAGGTGCTGTGTGGAGCTGTCTCTCTGCCTCTCTCTCTCTCTCTCTCTCTCTCTCTCCCTGCCTTAAAATAATGTAAACAAAATATTAAACAAAAATTCGCTAAAGTTATGTTGCTTAACTTGGGACAAAAATAATGTGACAAAAATTCTGTTTAAAGCTTCGTATTTTGACAACCGATCTTAAATGATGCATCCATTTCAGATGCTTATTTTAAACGAGGAAATGCAATCCCTAATATATTCAACAGAAATGTTATTTCTTTCTCTTTGCACATTTCCATATGTAATGGTTATGTTTCCATCTACTTTTACAGCCAATTATGAAGGAACAAAAGCTATTCTGTTTGTTCACACATTTTCAACAAAATGCATTAAAACTATTATGTCAGCATGTTCTATTAAGCTCTGCATTCAGTGGAAAATACTTTTCAACCAGCTCACATTTATCAAAACATAAAGCCACTTTAAAACACAGTTTTGCTTGGTCAGCTGGGCTTAGACAAATAATGACAGATTCAGAACTAAATAACTAGCCAGGGAAATCAGAAAACTGACTTCATCAATTGTACACATTACAATGTAGTCGCTTCAAATATTTAGCACATCTGTGCTCACGATTAAAGGGCATTTTAATTCTTTGTAACTTGCAAACATCTGATATTCTCATAATATGGAGAGAAAATAAAAAGGTTACTCCCAGGACTTAGCCGATTATTACTTTCCTGTGCTCAAGGTCTGCATGTGTGCTGCCTCGAGACCCACTTGAGAATTTCCCAGTCTTTCAACCTGAACATTTTTATATTTAAGGTGGTGCTAACTGGATGGAAAATATAGGTGCCTAAAATAAGTGCCTGCTTGCTTCTAAGGAGTACGCTGTGTCCAAGAGCTGCCCGGATTTTAGCTTACATTTTCGCAACATTTTAATAAGCTGACATTTGATCTCATTGTAGAGTCAACTAATTTAATTTCCTGATGTTTATGAACACGGAAAAAAAATTTCCTGGTATCTATTTTGATTTATTTCAAAAGCAGGTGTTGCTACACTGTACCAGTTCTTAACTTTAAATCTATCTGCATGCTGAACAGGATTCCAATGGAACAGCTTTTTAAAAAAAGATAAAACATGAGGACTAGTTTGAATCCTTTCACTATGAAAGGGAACATTTTAAGTCTGAACAAGATGCACGCACGCACGCAGACAAACTAACACGTTCTAATTCATTTTCCCAAGTGTCTGTTACCTTGTATGTTGCTGAATAATCGGCACAGGATTGCAACTGGTGACCCCATGATAGGAAATATGGTTAGTAGCCTTGTTCCCTGCTCTGTGGAGAAAATAACATGCCAATTCCTTTTGTATGGATTTTACATGCAAATTAAAAGTAATTCTGTAATCCTGGTCAGATAAGAAGATTTAAGAAGTAGAGGTTTTTTTTAAGTATGCACGCACAAAAAGATATTTGAAATTTTCTAGGTTCTTTTTTTTTTTTTTTTGAGAGGGGGATGATCTTCCAGCTTCATCCAATTTACACGAAAATCCCCAATGTTTCAGCTCCTGTTGTACTATTTAGGAACTTGACGCCTAATTCAAATGTGTCAGCTTTTCATCATCTGAACCCAACGCTGGAGAATGGAAAGCAGAAAACTGAAGTGTTTCAGGATATCTGTGTCCTGAGAAAACAAAAATAAAACTCTGCCCCACACAGAAAGGTTTAGCCAGCAGGGGGAAAAAGGCAGACCCAAATCAAACAACACTCTCCTGCTACATTTGGGCTTTTTTTTTTTTTTTTTTGAGCCCCTCCGAAAGAGCCTTCCCTTTACTTCCCCTTAAGTTAACTTCACATTCTCATTTTTAATAGAACCTCTCCTGAGCCTATAATTTTAACAGGCTCTTCCTTCCCATGGGCCAACGCAGAAATAGGCTCTCACACACATTTTTGATGGATTGGTCTTTTATTTTTTTTCTCTCCTTTCCCCTTTTCTTTCTTTTTTCCTTTTTTTTTTCTTTTTTTGCACAGACCTGGGAAAAGCCTGAACATGAATGTCCAGCTTAAAATTCCCAAGAAATTTTCAACACTGCAACACATGCTGTGCATATTTTCGGTCACGTCTTAAGTTTCCTCTCTGGGATATGCAACCAAATGACAAATTTCCTGGCACCTTGCAAGTTTCCTCCGTGTTCCGACCCAGATCAGTGCCTTCTCCCGGGGAAGAATACAAGTGAAATCTTTGACAAAAAAAAAATTACATGACCCTCCCTTTGCAAACAGGGACTCGAGCCCACCTAACACACACAGGGAGTGAAAAGGGGGAAAATGTCTTCTCCTCGGCTGAACCGACCTCAACGCTAGATGGGGTTCCAGTTGCAAGGGTTTGCTCAAAAACTTCTTTGTGGCTTTCCTATTCCATTGACGCGTAAAAGACAGACTCCTCAAGGCGAGACCTAAACTTCGACTACATAAACATTGGCAAAGGCACAAGAAACTAAATCCCTGTTGTTTGAGGGTAAAACGGAGCTATGGGAACTACTTGTCAATCTTCCCCTTTGGGGGTCTGGCATCTGAGGGTGACCGGGGAGTGGGGTTAGGAAAAGAAGCCAAGCTGATAAGGTGAAACTAAAATAAACGACGAACTTCCTGCTAAGTGACTAGCAAGGCTCAATTTGGGGGTCACTGGGAAGATCCTGAAGGACATATTATGATCTGGACCTTGTCACCTTTGCATGGGAGGAGGCTGGCAGAGGTTAAAACAGCCCCGACACATCTTAGGTTTTTCTGAAGCCTGGCCCCACAAACTTTTTTTTTTTTCCTTTTGTGGGGGAGGGGTGGCGGTTCTTAGGATAATTTACCATCTCCTTGGCTAACCGGCTACATCACTTCGGTTGGGGTAATCTAAGAATATTTTGGAAGACACGGCTAGCTGCACGAGGGCACGTCTTGGAAAAACCGAGTTAGTTAAGACTGCAGGAGGAATTTGGTTCTGGCTGTGACATAGAGCTGGGCTTCTAACAACTTCAAAAAAAAATACAACAAAACAAAACAAACTTAGGGAGCGACTCGCCTACCAATTCCTTGCCCAGTTTCCCAGGGAGATTTCCACATTAAAAACCACCACCACCACCACCACCAAACCCAGGCTGGAGGCTTCCGCCTTCCAAAGGACTGTTGGTAGAGGTCACTCACTACCTGCAAACAGAGAAAGGAACGGAACCAAGTCCCCCAAGAATGACCTATAAACTGGCATTGCACCTCTGAATGTGAGGAGGAACCAGATGGACACAGAACCCCCAAACAGGTAGAATCCCCCAGAGTCCCTCACGCCCTCCATACCCTTTGCTTGGGTGTTTGTTTTTCAGCTTTTAGGGAATCTCTGCAGCCAGCCCACCAGAAGCAAATCCCCCCCCCAACAACCTGCATTTTCTCACCCAGAATTTTCCATTCTGCCAGAAACTTAAAAACAAGCCTCATTCAACAGAGATTCTTCGCAACTGCCCTGTCTCACAGGTGTCGGGTTTTTTTTTTTTTTCCAGAAAAGACCAGTTCTTTGGCATTCTCTCTAACCTTCTGGGCCCAGAAATCCATGGGAAGCCACGAAGCTGCTCCCAGCGAGGAAATTACTTTGGTAAATAATAGAATTTCCTTATTAATATAAATAAGAGGGATTTTTGTGATACTTTATATGACAGCCAATGTTTTATCTGCGGCTCATGAAGGTTTTCTCTCCCAATATTATCCTTGTCTTGAAAAAAAAAAAACAACAGCACCAGAAAGCACCAAAATATTTTTCTTAATAAATGAATGGAGATTGAATGGGCCATCCATGTAGTTACAGGAATCTTAAAAACAACCACCCAAGGAGGAAAAACCCAACACACACACACACACAAACACACACACACACACACACCCAAATTTCTAGTAAATAACCCATGTGCAAAATCATTAGATCACAATATTCCCTGTCCTCACAATTCTTTACCCCGGTCAACACTTTTTCCAAGGCAGTCGGCCCCCCACAAGTAATTCAAGACTTGTTGAATATCACTGAAGAGACCAGTCATATTGGTCATACTCTTGGTTTCATGAGAAACAGGAAAATTCCCAGGTTCACTTGAGGCTGCTTCAGCTGCTCCCCTAACGTAAAATTGAAATGGGAACACGGTTAAGATGGATCAGAGAATCCTGTTCTCTTGAACTTGTTCCAATGAAGTTATCGGTGTGGCTGTCCAGCAAAGCCGGTTGTTTCTTCGTACGCACGCACACACACACTCAAACACACGCGAACACACACAGGCACAGCCCACAGCCTGGGGAGCCGCTCGGCTCCTGGAAGGGGGGGCCCACGAACTTTTCCAGCCCCCACGCTGGGCCGCTGAAGTCACACAACGTGGAGGATGAGCCTGCGAGCAGGGCACCGGCCGGATTTAACCGAGAAGTCTCCACAGTGCGCGCGCCGTGGTAGAAGGCCATTTCAAGACATAAGTAAAAGCCACCACACTGTTCGAGGGAAGGGTTGTCTTCCAAAAAATGTAACCACCTTTTTTTTATATACGAAAAAAAAAACACATAAAGGCCCTAAATGGGGGAAAACACCAATGACACCACAACAAAACCCCAACGAGCCTTGGAAGCGTTTGTGACGCGTGGGGAGAAACACGGAGATGGCTAAACCCTCCGCAGAAACGGTGGTGACTTTCTCAAGGTAACTGGGAGACGTGTCACAAACCCTCGGCTCCACGGATCTGCCAGCTGCCCCCGGATGAAAGGAGCTGCAGTGTGTAAGGCCCTCCTGTAAGGCAGACCTTGAGCAGGATTAGTTGTGTACTAATATTATTACAACACACTAAATCCTGTAACCCTGTTACAAAATCTACCCTCTGGGCAGCTTCTCCCAAACTTATTGTTCAACCATGTGAAAACGGTCATAACCTAAAGCCATTACTACCGAAGGAAAAGGGGGGGGGTGGGGAGAGGTGAGAAAGGGCCTGGCAGGGGGGGTTCCCAGCCCCTCACTTGACTGCTCCTTAGGACAATGAACCAGCTTTTGGGGGTAAAAGGAAAGAACGTAAAAGAAAAGAGAGAGAGAGAGAGAGAGAAAAGAAAGGAAACTTGTTTCAGTTACTTAATTAACTTACCTCCAAGCTCAAATAAACTTAAAAAAAAAAAAGAGGTCCTAATAAATAATAATAGGAAGAGGCAGTGAACCCCTTTTATACCATGGCTTTATGAGAAGCCTTAACTATTAAAGATTTAGGATTCCGAAGGCGACGGAAGGAAAGGCAGAGAGATCAGGCTATAGCATCACTTTTCCGCGAAGCCCGAGTCCTTTTTTTTTTTTTTTTGAAAATGTGTAAAACCAGTACAAATTTACAAACTTACTAAAACACTCTTTTTTCTCCTCCTGTCTGCTCGGTGTTTCCTACGTACCTACCGCTAACTTGCACGGCAGCGCGGAGGGTCTCACCTGAAACTTTAGGGAGGATGAGTTTGGGGGCGAGCACCCAGAAACCCGCGGAGAACACCCGCAAAAAATATTCGCAGCTGCTGCCGCGGCCTGAGGTCATTTCACCTCGATTTACCTCGCGGACCCGGCACGGCTGGGGACGGATAGGGGGGGTTCGGAGCTCTTCTCTGGGGACGGGGAACTCCCAGAGACACTGAGTAAGGAAGACTTGGCGCTTGAGAAAATACTGGGGCGAGGGCGACAAACAGGGTAAACAATTCTCCAGATCGGTCTCCGTGCTCCCCAGTTCCTTGCAGGGAGCCCCAGGATGGATGGGGGCTCCCCGTCCCGGCAGCTAGCCTGGGTGAAGGCGGCCGGAGCCCCCCCCCGGCTTCTCCGCGCGGGTCGCTGCGCCCCGGCTCCGCCGAGGAGCAGGCCTCTGGGGAAGGGACGGGCAGCGTGGGGCCCGGGCGGCAGCGGAGTTCGGTGGCCAGAGGTGTGGATCTGGGAGCAGCTTCCGAGCCCCGCCGAGGCCCAGCTCCCTCGTGCACGCCGCACAACGCCGCTCGGGCGTGAGCGTCCCGAGAGACACCCCGAGCCCCGGAGGCCGCCCGGGGCTGCCCCTCGCCTCGTCCGCACCGCCGCGACCGGCGGGAGCTGAGCCCGGGCGCCGCTCCATCGCCTCCGGCGCGCGGCCTGGGAGCTCGGAGGGCCCTGAAGTGAAACATCTTCAGGGGCAAGAAGGGAATCGAGGTGTCCTCCGCCCGCACCCCGAATTACCTGCCCCGTCTCTCTCTCTCTCTCTCTCGGCCTCGGCTCCTCGCACCAACTTTGCCCTGGACTTGCTCGCTCCCTCCGGGACCCCGCAGCTGTCGCCTGCACTGGAGGCGGCGAGTGCCTCTCTGACTCAGGGGGAGACTCTGCTGGCTGGAGAGCCCCCCGGCCCTGGGAAATGACCACTGCGACTCCCGGGAGGTCGGAGTACCACTATCTCGGGGGACGCACACCGCATCGAAACATTTCTTGGGGCGGGGGTGCGTGTGTTGGGAGAACAGCGGGCAAACTTGGGGAGCCCGACCCTTTCCCCGTCCGCCGGCACCATCTCGGGAGCGACCGGCAGCGAAGGGCCCCCTTCACCCCGCCGCGACCCCGGCGAGTCCGGCGCGGGCGCCCCGACACAGGTCCCCATCTTCTCGCAGCTCTGAACCCCCCAAGGCGCCCCATTCGGCAGCGCGGGCCCAGGTGGAGTGGGGGGGGGGCGCGGGGATCTCCTCAGCCCGGAGTTCAGCGCGGAGCACGGAGTCAACTTCCTTCCCGCCGGCAGCAGGGCCGGGCGGCGGAGGCCTGGCCGGGGGCCCCGGGCGCCGCGCGGGGAGCGCAGGAGCCCCGCGCAGCCGGTGCAGAGGGCCTCTGCCGGCCCCCGCGCCCCGCCGGACACCCGAGCCCCGACCGCGGCTCGGCGCGTCCCCGGCTCCGGTCCCCGGAAAAGCCGGGACGGAGCAGCAAGGCCGGCGTGCCCTCTCTCCGCCCCCAGGAGGACCCAGCAACTCCGGGAACGTCCTGCCGGGAGAAGTGTTTGCTTTCTCCGGGGTGGCGGGAAGCCCAGCGCAGGCAAATTGAAAATTAGAAAGAAAAAAGAAATGCGCCGAGTCGCCCGGGCCGGCGGGGCCGCGGCGGGGGCGGCGAGGACGATGGGCGCGGGGGCCCGCTGCGTGTGCGTGGGTCCGGGTGTACTTGAGTGTGAGTGCGTGTGTGTGCGTGTGTGTGTCCACGGCGCGGGCCGGAGCACTCACCATCTCGCCGGGGGAGCGAGGCCACTTCGGGGTCGGATTGGAAATGTTGAGGCTTCGCTTGCTTCCTCCGCGACATGCTGGCTCAAACATCAGCTGGGGCAGAATAAAAAATTACTAAAAAAAAATCTTCTCAAAATTACGGAAATCGAGCGGCGGCAGCGGCGGAGGCTCCCCCCGCCCGCCGGCCCGCCCGCCCCCTCCCCGGCTCCCCGGCCCCGGGCGCAGCGCGCATGTGTCCTGCTATAATTATGATTATCAATAATGCATTGCGATTAATCATAGAGGGGCTCTTTGAAAGGCGATTGGCACCGGGCCAGCGCTATTCAAACCCGCTCGCCTTAATCAATTAGTTCGTGATTTGCTGCAGACCCCTGTCTCTCCGCGAGCCGGCCCAATAAGCCGGCCGCGGGGCTGGCTCTGCGAGCCGCGCCGCCCGACGCTCGGTTAACCCTCTTCGCGACCGCCGGGGACTCCGCGGCCCGGCCGCCGGGGGCCGGCCTCCTCGCCTCGCCTCTGCGCCCTGGGCGCCCCTGCCCGCGCCCCCCTCCCTCCCTCTCGCTGCCTCCCCCCCATCCCAGGCTGGGCCGACCCAAATTAGCATGCCCTCCCCGGAATGAAGCCTCCAGGGCGGGGGGTGGGGCCGGGCAGCGGGGGCTGGGGACCCGGGCTGCGGGCGCTCAGCGAACTTCCCAACTTGGGCGCTAGGCGCGCCGGCTCGCGGGGGGAGGGAGTCCCGTGGCGGGATGGGTTGGGGGTGGGGGTGGGGGGGGAGGAAGTCCCGTTTCGTGAGTGTTTCTTCGTTTCTTTAAGAGCTACCAGAAAGCAGCCCACCCCCACCCCCATAAAAAAAAAATAAGCGAGTGGGGAAGAGCCAGCCCCACGCCGGTCCGCCTCCCGCCCGCGGCCCGGCCTCCCGCCCGCTCGCCGGCTGGCTAGGCGCTCCTTCGCCCCGAGTTCTCCATCCCCTGGACCCCGGGCTCGCGGGGGCGCGGAGAAGAGGACCGAGGAAAGGTTTGGGGACGTGATGGGTTTGGGCCTTGGGGGGAGGGGCTGCTCTCCCGCCACCCCGGTTCTCCTCAAAGGGCCCCCGACCCTTCAGCCTCTCGCTTGCTCCCTCTCTCCTTTTCTCTACCTTGGCCATTCCCAGGACAATTAGGGCTGAAGTTTTCGGGAGCAGCCACCCCGAGCCCGTGGGATAAGGGGCGGCCCGGCTCCGCCCAGGAACCCTCCCGACCTTCCCCCCCCGGCCGCCCCGGTTGGCTGCAGGGCGCGTCACTCCGCGGGGAGGCGGCGGCGGCGGTGGCGCCGCGGAGCCCGGGGCGGGCGAAGAGCAGGGACCAGCCTGGGATCCGAGTTCAGCTCCCGCCGGGGGGAGGGGAGGGGCCGCCGCGTACCCTGTGAGCTACCACCCGCCCCTGGCCGAGGGAGGCGAGGCCCTGCCCGGCCGGGCCCTGGGCTAGACCAGTCCCCAGGACCCCCGGGCTCGTCGCCCTGGGGGAGGGGGCCGCGCCCCGGGCTGCTGGTGACTAGGTGGCCTCGCCGAGTCGGGAGTGAGTGAGGGGGGAGGGGTCCCTGTCCACAGCTGTCTGGCCCCGCGGAAGCTCGCCTGCACCTCGGGCGCTTGCCGAGCGCGGCACCCAAACTTTTCGTACGAGCTCCATCCCCCCCCCAAGGTGGGGAGGCAGCTTCCCTTCCCGCGCCCCCGAGCCCGGAATCGGGAGCCCGGGCCCCGCACTCCCTCCGCTGGGTTCGGGCGCCCGCGAACCTGACTCAGTCCTCGGCTCAGCCCCGCTCTTCCCCCTCGCTCCTCAGGGTCTCCTCGCTCCAGGGTTCCCGAAGTCCTGCGCCCGACAAACTAAACTTCGGTTGAGTGATGGGGAGGAGGGGGGTGCAGATACACAATCCCTACCCTATCTCGCGATCGGGAAAGGAGAGGGCTCATAAGGACGCCCCAATTCGTGAGCGCCCTTCAGTCTGGGTAGCGCCACAGCCGGTTCGCGCGAAGTGGGCGCCCGTCTTGCGAGCAGAGTTTCGGGTGCACCGGACCATCGCGGCGCTCCCCCGAGAAAGGACTCGATTTCTCGTTTTCTCCCAGCTTCTTCGGTCTCTCTCTCTCTCTTTTTTAATCAAACCTTTTGTGTGAGGATGAATGTTTCTGTTTTCCTTCTGCCGACCCCCAGGGTTTTTTTTTTTCTCTCTTGCTGTAACTTCTTTCTTTCTTTCCCCTCGTGCACCCTTTCGTCACCTTTTTCTCTTGTCCCTCTTATTTTTCCTCTCTTCTGCCCTCGCCCAGTGCCACACACACACACACACACACACACACACACGCAGGCACCTTCTCCGCCTCGCTCTCCCTTTCTCCCCAGGTCCTGTTGGTTACAGTAGATTTTGATAAAAAGACAAACGAAGCTATCAGTGGGGCTGATGTTGAAGAATGAAGATAATAATGTTTCCATAGGTGGTGCTTCAAATGCCATTATTTCTCACTGAATATTTAAAGAGATCCCTCAGCCAAGATGGATCTGCGTGCTCCTGGGGTGCGAGCCGCTCGCTCACCCCAGACCCCCGGGGAAGCGCCCAGGAGCACGTGTGACTCGCGCACCCACCCCGCCTGCCCCCCGGGTCCTTCCTGAACACACCAACCGCACTCTCCCAGGTACACCGACGCGTCCCGAGGCACTTGCACACTCGTTTCTCGAGCCAGCCCGCGTGCGGAGCCTCCCGCATCGGTCTCTAACAACCTTGGCGTCTTGAAAGTCCGGGCCTCGGGCCACCGCGTGTTGCCAGGAACCCAGCGGAGCTGGCGACCCTGCAAACCCTTCTGCCCCCGCGACGCGCCGCGTGCGCCGCGGGAAGCTCCCGGGAATAGCTTCACACGTGTTTGTGACTTGCTCTGTGTGTGACTAAGGGGTGGTTGGGGGGAAGGCTTTCCTCCCCCCGCCGGCACAAACAACCAAACGAACGCACGTGCAAAATCAGCTTCGCGAGGTTTGATTTCAGATGGGTGAGCAGAGGCGACTAACCCGGGGGATCGAAACTTGAATAACTTTTTTCGTTCTCTCGAGTCCTCGACGGCGCAGAGGCGGGCGTCTGGCTCCGCGCGCGGCATCCACGGCTAATTCGTTTGTTTTCTTTCGCTCTCTGGCCGGGAGAGAGGAGAGAGGAGGTGGGGGAGGGGGTATGGGAGGAGGGGGATGGTCGGAATGGCGGGGAGAGGAGAATTGGCCTTTATTGTTGATGGCAATACATCAATTACAGGCCATTGTCTCCGGCCCAAGTTCCATGGTTCGCTGACGCGGGCCCCGCGATGCCAGGGCGCGGGTGAGGCTTCGCGTGCCGCGGGGCAAAGAAATAATTAAATTAATAAAAACGGCGAGAGCACGGGGGGCTGGTTTTTACTTCTGAGGGGGTCGAAAGACAGCGGCGAGTGAGGGGCCGCCGCGGGACCCCGTGCCCGCGACTTGCTCACGCCGGAGACCGGCGCGCTCCGCAGGGGTCGCGCGGGGCCCGCTCTGGGTGGGGCAGCTGCTGGGGGAATCGGGGTGGCGGGGGTTCCGACTTGCGGATCCCGTCAAAGGGCCTGACACTCAGGGACTGATCCTCATTAGGCGAGGAGGAGCGTGTCCCGGAGTGAAGCAGAGGCTGCGTCAGGGTCGTGACCTCGTGGGCCGACGGGAACCGCACCCCGGAGAGACGCGGGACGAGTTGTGCAAACTCACATTTGGGGGGGCTTGATGCTTGAGTTTCTACTAATACGTCCCCTCAGGTTTCTTGAAACCCCTCAGGTTTCAGGACCTAGGGCATCCTTAGGAACTTGGCAGGCGGAAAGGCTGTGCCCCATGGCGGTGGGCCACAACTGAGCTCCCAGCCAGCGGAGGGGTTCCCTAGCCCCCCAGATCCTGGAGAGAGGAGATGTTGAGCTCCCCCCGCCCCCCCCCCACTTCCGAAGGCCTGGTTCTTCCAGCCAGATGAGAAAACACCTCATCCTGGCCCACTCTGATCCCAGCGTCTGGGGTGGAGCCTGGAATGAGGCCTGGCCTGGGCCCCGCGTCCTCTTCCTCTTTCCACCTGGGATGGTTGGGCGCCCACACACTGACGGACGCCCCCACGCGCTCCGCCAGCGTCCCCCGAGACCCTGTGCTTCCTCAGCCCCCAACCCCCAGCCCCAGGCCACGCTGGGCCTCGGCTGAGACTTGGAGGGCAAGAGAGGAGGTTTCGTTTTCTTGTGCCAAGCGAAAAGCGGCGAAAAGGCGGCTGCGGCGCCCCCCGGGCGGGGGTGGAGGCACCCCGATGGTATCGGCATTATTGATGGGGAACCGTTCGAGGCCGGAGCCCGGAGATCAGGTTCCCAGTCCCTCCCCTCCCCGGAGGTGGGAGGGACGGAGTGAGTGGTGGTGGCGGAGGCTGTCGCGTGTGTGTTGGAATGGGGGGGGGGTGGTGCGCGCGCCCAAATGCACCCGCATTAACCACTCGGGGTTTATTTGTATTTTTCTCATCTGAAAGTTTGGGGCTGTTGGGGGGGGGAGAAGAGGGAGGAAAGATTCAGGTGCTTAGTACCCTGGCCCTGAGTACTCTTTCCTGAGGCTGGGGCTAGAGTTGGGGGGGGGTGTAGGGAAAATGACAGAAAGCCCTGACCAAGATTGGAGAGACTTCCGCAGCCTAGGTTATTTTCCCAGCCCCGGGACTTCGCTTCCCCGGGAGTTTCAGAAACTCCCTCCTTCACCGAACTGCTTTCACTCAAACCCTAACCTCTCCTGGGCCACCGGAGAGGCGACCCCGAGGCCTGGGGGAGCACGCACGGTGGGTGCAGCGGCCCCGCAAGGCCCAGGCCCGGCCCCAGGGGAGTAAACGCAGTGCGTCCTCCGCGCCTTCGCTCTCCAACCGCCAAGTCCCGGCGACGCGAAGGCTCCTTTTCTGGGGACCGCGCCGCCCGGAGCTCAGGGCTATCTCCCGCCCCCAGCGCCGGGTGCGGCGCTGCCAGCGGCAGCCCAGCCGCCGGCTCAGGCGGGAAATACAGCCGCGGTGAGCTGCGGGCGGTCTCGGGGACAACCGCCCCCATTCCCAGCGGAGGGTCCCACGCCGCCTGCCCGGGAGGCAAACTTCGCCGTCTGTCTTTTCCAGCAGGGCCATCCCCACACCCACGCCGGCATTTAGAATCTGGCTCCGCGGGCGACCGAGAGTGCCGTGCCTGCGAATTTTCCTTTCCGTCCACCTGGAGCGTCTTGCGCTTCCATCCACTGCGCCCCGCGTGCAACAGTGCCCGCCTCGCCGCCGGGCGTCCGAGTAGGAAATTCCCCACCTAAGGAAATGTCTCGAGGTAGAGAGAGTGAAAAAGGCTGGTCGAATTTATAAAAAGAAAACCTTTGCTTCCTTTTAGTTAAAACCCCTTGGTGGTTTTCTGAGCGTGAAAAAAAAATCACCACCATGCAATACTGGAGCTAGTTTCTGGAACCTAGTGGTAAGGGGAGAGGGGTGTCCAGGGACTCTGGGGGGGCTCACAGATTCGCATCTTTGTGCTCAAGAAGTCGGATTTTGGGATGGATGCAGTGAATAGTGATCAGTTCTTATATGCCATCTGTTGGGAAGGGGGTGAGCTCGGTGGAACCTCGAATGCTGTGTGCATTTTGGGGGGCGGGGGCTGCCTGCAGTCTGCCGGAAACATACTTTCATTCATCAAGGTAGTCCCTTCCAGTGACCTCCCAGGCGGATGCCTAGGTGAACTACTTTGACCTGGTGCTTGCAACAAACTTAAAAAAATTATACTCTGCCACTTGCTCTAGCAAAATGTCCCCTGTTTCCAGAACAGATCCCCAAGTCTCAAAGAGACGTGTCTCTTGGTTCTCATGAGACGCTCGTGTGCCGGGACCCCTTCCCTGGGGATGCCGGCTCCTCAGTCCGTGCTCCTGGGGGAGACCGCCTGTTGGTTTCAGTTTGGTGGAATTCACACGTCCAGGTCTGGCGTGAGATCCCGCTGGCGTCCTCCTCCTGTGCCTGCCTGGGCTCCAGGCCTGCCCGTCACTCACAGGATGTGATTTACAACCCCCGCCCCCGCCCCGGAGTGTCTGCCTCCTCCAACTTTCATAGGGAATGTTCTCCCGAGTTTCTGCCTCCCGAGACAGCGTGGGCTCCTGGCGGGGAGCGAGGCTTTCCCTCGGGGCTGCCGTTTGCGGTCGGAGCTGTCACTGCACTCGGGGAACCACAGCGGCCTCCGGTGCGGCCTCCGCGCCCTGTGCCTTTCGGAGCTGCATCCTTCCCACCTTCTGTGCAGGGAGCACCAAGGGGGGGAGGGGTGCGGGCCCCATCTCTTCTCCTTCTTTCTCCTTTGCCAGCTCGACAGCTTTCCTGACGATGGCACTCTCATGTCTTCCCCTCCGTGTTCCCAGTCCAGCCCCGGGAACAGCCTCACACCCGGGTTCTCCCCAGCTTCACGCCCAGGCGGAGGTGGACTTTTCAGTGGAAGGGCTGGCATTTCTCGGCTCCAGACCCGTGGCCCTCTGTCCCTTGTGCCTTCTCAGAACAGAAGCCCGAGCCGTCGGCACCTACGCTGTCCTGCCGGGGACGAGCTCCCACTGTCCCTTCCGCTTCCCACGTGTGCGTCTCACGCTGCCCTGGCCTCCACTCCTTCATCCTGAGCCACCCCCTAAGACTCTTTCGAACGTGTTTTGTAGTAAAACCCAGACCCCGAGAACCCTCGCTCGGAGCTCTGCTCGGGCTGGAATGGATGTGACGTTTGCTTAGCGCTTGGCTCAGGACCTGCCTTGTGGCCTTTGCCCAGGAACTCACAATGGAGGGAGGTCAGCCACTCTCCCCTTCTCCAACCCAAACACAGTGATTTCAGGAGAACTGGCGGGTGGGACCTCCATTTTCCAGGTTGGTTATTATTTTCTCCTTCTTTCCCGGACCCCCCCAGAACCTCCAGTGTGGGGCCAGCAGTCCTGAGAAAACCAGCCTCTTATCGCAGCCCTGCTTTGACATGTGCTCTTTCAACAATCTCAGATGTTTGCTGGGGGGCAGCTTTTTGCAGCCTTTCCTCCTTGGGCGTGGGGGTCAGGCTGTTGGGGTTCATGTCAGGGCTCTGTGCCATTTAACAGGGTCTTCGCTGGGCACCCCTGTAGGGCAGCCTTGCTCCGATCGATGCTACTGCCCTCTGTTCCCTGTCCCTAAAGTGCAGCCAGTGGACAGGAAGCATCCTGGGTGCCCTGCCTCGGTCCCAAGCAGCATGGCCTCCATAGAGACCTCCAAGAGTTTCTTCTTCCGGTAAATGGAGATAATGATAGCCCTGATTTCATAGAGCTCTTGAGGGTTAAAAGAGTTAATATGTATGAAGAATTTAGAGCGGTGGCGGGCATGTAATTAGCGCAATGTAAGTGTTAACTCTTATTGTTATTCAGAGGGTTGTGGTGAGCATCAAATGGTGCGATATGGTGAAACTATCATTACGTGTCTATCCATCCATTTATCCACCCGTCCACCCGTCCACCCGTCCACCCATCCACTCCCTCTGCAGAGTAACGTGTGAAGTATGGGGAGTACCACTGCGAAACAAGCCCTGGCCTTCCTTTCCTCGTTGGCAGGCAATCCATCAAAGGGATGACCTCCTGGGGCCGGGCCGCCGCCTGGCCCAGTGCTGGGCGTGAGTAGAACGGCCCAGGAGCAAAGGCGAGAGCAGTGGTTGGCAGTTCCCACCGGCACAGAAAACTGGAAATAGAGCAGGTTGGGGGTCACCGAGGCCGGGGACAGACCGTCGTCATGCTTCTGGAAGGTTCAGGAGCACCGATGGACTGAGACAGTGGCCCGTGCCTTAGGGCCCAGCCTGTATTCACCTGGTTGCTTTATTCAGCTCAGGTATTTGTTTGTTTCTTTGTTTGTTTGTTTGACTTTGCAGAGTCTTCTGAAATGTGCAGGAAACAAAATGATAAAACAGGTGCTATTTTCCTGGGGGCCCCTTGAAAAGTATAAACTATGGACAGTGTTAACTTAGGCCTTACTTTTCCAGCCTTTTCGCTTTCGGTTGTCAGATTCTACAAATTAATCACAGTCTTGACAATAGGGCACCTTGCAGCCCAGTCTAGCGCGGGAGACCCAGAGCCCTCCCCTTGGCCCGCCCCGCCCCCGCAGGGGCGTGCCCAGTCTGGACGCAGACCCTCGGATGGCCGCTGCGTGGACCACGCCGTTGTTAGTGTTATAACCACACTGTGACCAAATGCAGTTTAACATTTACTGGCAGATTGCAAAGTGCTTTTGAGAACACCCCCCTGCCTTGTGCTTTGAGATTAAAACACTTTTTTTTTTATGGTCAGAATCTGGAAGAAGAGTGTTAAGTCTGAGCAAAAATCCCTGTTAGCCCACAGGCCGCGAGCGCCGCCCTTGGGAAGCATCTGACAGCCCGCGCCGATGCGGACGCTCGCCGTTGACTCGGGAGCGTGTTGACTTGGTGCCCGCGCCTCCGCTGGACGACCCCTTCACCTGCTGATGGACGTGTGCAGCGTTCCCAGTTCCTGGTTACTGTAGATCAGGTTGCTCCCAACATTCTCATTCCCAGAGAGAAACAAGGCGGTTGCAGATGTCAGCGCGTGGAGGGTGAGCTCTGCTTCCCCCTCGCGCTGAGGGAGCAGACTCGATTGAATCTGTCACTCCATGTCCTCCTCCTCAAAAATAGTGCCCAGGGGCTGCCGCAGCCTTAATGTGGAGGCCTGTAGGAGGCTGGCAGTTGGTGAATTATGCACGAGGGTCCCTCACAGCCCCGGTGGTCACCATCTCACGGACGTGAACGTGATGTAGTGTTTCAGATGATTTGTGGGAGCTCGGGAGCAGCCGGGGCCTTGGAGAGCTCCCCCCACCCCCCGGGCTGGCGTCTCCCCGTTGCATCGAACAGGTCTCCACCTCCTGGCTGCTCTGTCCCGGTTCCTGGCTTCTCAGGGGGTCTGTGAGCAGCCCCCCGTGTTGGTGGGTGGCCTCCCAAATGCCTTTCCTCCATCAGGGAGTTCTGAGATTTTTTTTTCCTAACCAAAGGTTTCATCACTTTGAAAAAAAAAAACAAAACAATTTAGCCCTGGCTGGTATAGCTCAGTGGCTTGAGCGCAGGCTGCAAAAAAAAACAACAAACAAACAATTTAATCTATAGTGACTCTTCACTTTCTCATTAATTCATTCCCTTATCCATGTATTAACTGACATTTATTGAGCACCTACTGTGTGCCCGTCCGTATTTCAGGCATGAAGGGTATCACGGTTAATGGGACAGATAAGGTCCTTGTTCTTCTGATGAAGGGGACAGACATAACAAAAAACTCAATAAACCCAGGGAACGGCGAGTGCTTCAGGGGGGACTGACAGGGTGGGGCTCGGGTGGGGGCACAGGGAGGAGTGTTGGGGGGTGAGGGAGGGCCTCTGAGGCAGTGACTTCTGCGGTGGGGACGATGAGAAGGTGTCGGCTGTGCCTGGATCTGGGCGTGTGAGCATTCCGGCCAAGGAGAGAGCTCGCACAAAGGTCTTGAGGAAGGAACAGGTGTGCAGAGGTTTGCTCTGTTTTTCTCTCCCCGGCCAGGTCCTCCCCACTTTGTTATTGTACTTTCAGGGGAGTTAGGGAGATTCATTTTCCTTATTTCTGTTTTAATCCTCACCCCGAGAATATGTGTAGCGATTTGAGAGAGAGAGAGAGAGAGAGAGAGAGAGAGAGAAAGACACTGTTGTGAGAGAGAAGCATCGATTGGTTGCCTTCTGTACCTGCCCCGACCAGAAATCAAACCTGGGCACGTGCCCTGACCTGGGGTTGAACCCACAACCTCTCGGTGCATGGGGCGACGCTCCAGCCAGTTGAGCCACCCCACCGGGGCTATTTTCCTTTTTAAAAATTGTTTTTTCCACTTGAAGGGATAAAACACATTGTGGACTATCCCTACAATGGAATACTACTCCATTCTAATGGAATAAGAAGGAACAAACTGCTGATTCTTGCAACGATGTGGATTCTCTAAAGGCTCTGGCCCCTGGGTCAGAGTCCTGCTGCGGAGTGTAGTGTTTGGAGGCTGCCTCATAGCTGCAAGGGAGGCTGGGAAACTGGATGTCTGACCTCTGCACCTTTTGTCTCAGGGGTGCTCTAAGGCGCCTGCAGCGGGGAGGCTGCCGAGCTGGGCCGAGGGGAAGACGGCCAGCCGTCCCTGCAGACTCTCACAGCCCTGTGTCCCTTTGGAGAGTTTCGCAGCTGTCTTCCTAGCTTCCCGCACTTCAGAAAGGCCTGCAGAACACACTGTGAAGGTGTCGGGGAGCTTACTTTCAGGCCCCTGGGGCAGCCTCGGCCCTTCCGCGGGGCTCTGTCCTCTGCATCTGAGTGGGGCTCCCTGCCTTTGTGCTCCCAGCAGCCTCAGCTGATGCACCGCAGCGTGCCGAGGGAGGCTCGGCGGGCCCCGTCTGCCCTCAGCAGCCCCCTGGAATGTCCTCAGACCACAGGGAAGGGGAAGAAGGTAGCTGCCCACTGTTGGTCACTTGCCAAGACCCGGGCTTGGGGCTGAGCACAGTACGCACGCACATCAGCTCCACAAATTCCCCCCGGGACTCTGGGAGACACTGCTGCGTTTCCATTTTACAGATGAGGAGACTGAGGCCTCGGGTCTACTCCGGCATCACAGAGCTCTAGAGCCGCTGGATGTCTCAAACCAGGTCTCAGGGCATCTTTCTGAGAAAACAAGACAAAACTGAATGGGACTCAATGACAATAAACACGTTTTCAAGGTGTAGGAAGCCCAGGCAAGGAAAAGACTCAGGATAGGCCTTTGGTCCTAGTGCGGCCCTTCCTCCCGATTGAAAACGATAGGCGGATGTAGTTGGAGGGGGAGATTCACTAAAACCTCGGGAGCTGTGGCCGCAGTGTGTTTTCGTATGGGCGGCCCCCACCTCCAGCCCCCACTCTGGTCTTCAGTCGGACTCAGCGGTCAGGACAGGCCGAAGCCTCGGTTCCTTTCTGTTGCCCCCGACGATGCCGTCCACAGGTGCAAACAATGGCAAGGGGAGGAGCAGAGAGAGCCAGGACCTAGAAAGAGGGCGTCTGAGTCAAAGCCCTCACGCGGGTTATTAGGAGGATTTCCCCCCAAGTCTTCGTTTTCCTTCGTCTGTGTGGTCGCCTGTCTGGAGGGTGGGGGGGGCCGCCAGACTGTCCCTGCCCCACGGGCAGGACACACAGTCAGAGGTCAGCGCGCATCTGCGAATGAACGAATCCAGCGAGAGTGGGGCTGGGTTCACGGGGGCTTGGAGTGAGCTCTGCGTGCGCTCTGCGTGCTGACACGCCTGCAGCATCTCCGTGCTGGGTGCGCTCGGCCATGACCCGGCGTCTGGTTGGAATGCAGGTTCCGAATCAGGAGGTCAGGGGTGGCATCCGAGATTCTGAATGTGCACCCGGCACCTCGGTGACATGGACACTGCCGGTCCTGGACCACGCTTTGTGCAGCCAGGGGGCACGTACGCGACCAGCCCTTGTTCAAGTCTTGCCGGGTGGGCGTGAGGTGGGGGCGGGAGTCACCTGGGCCAGTGATCTTCCAAAAAGAGCATGGCTCAGCTCCGCCCCCCATCTCGGGTCCAGAAATGCCCCCGTCTGACACGACACCTGTGAAGGGACACGAGGCACACGCTCTTTGACCTCACGCCGATGCCCCAGCTGTCTGGCCGTGGTGCCTCATGTTTGCCACGTTCGCGGCAAATGACGACTCTGGCCGCCCGTTCGTTCCTCTGGGTCCCCCCTGCACGGGGCGCGAGCATCAACAACCGCTAACGCTTGTTAGACAGGGTGTGGGTTGAGCACTCAACACTGGCTGAGCACGTGACAGTCACTTCAGAAGAGGGAGCTGGTGGGGACGATGACAATGACGACGACCACGATGATGATGGTGGTGACGATTGTTTTATGAAAGCCTTTCACGTCGTTGAGTTCCCTTGGCAACTTGATGCCGTGGGTATTGACTGTTCCCGGCTCTGCATTGTCTGTCTCTAGACCCTGGACGTACCAGGCTCATTCCAGCCTCTGCCCCTTTGCTTGGGTTTCCTCCTGGGGGAAATGTCCGACCTTGGGGACCTTGGGCAACCTCTGGAGACATTTTTGGTTGTCATGACTGGGGGCTGCTATTGGTGCCTGGCGGGCAGAGACCACAGGGGCTGCTGAACATCCCACCATGCACAGGACAGCCCCCCCCCACAACCAGTACAGGGCCCCGAAGGTCACGGCCATCCCACTGAGGCTGAGAAAGTCCGGCGTGAGGGGCTCTCCTCTAGAGAACGCCTTCCCCCCTTTTACCTGCGAATATCCCGGCGAGCTGTGACCAGACGTCGGAGTGGAAGAACCTCATTAGGTTATTTCCCCAATGTTGAAGGCTCAAAGCCTCCTCAGGCTGTGAATTCAAAACGCCGGCAGCCAGCGAGGGCTGCCCTGCCATTCCCACCCCCTGCCCCCTGCCTTCCACGGCCAGGCTGTCGTGGGTGGGGACACTCGTTTTTCCGTCCAGCCTGTGTGAGGGGGACGGGGGAGGAGGGCCCCAGGGGGCCTGTGCCTGAGCCGCCGGCTTCAGAGTGGACGCCGAAGGCTCTGAGGCCGCTGCCTGCCTTGTTCGGACAGACGGAGATCAGGACCCCGCCCCGCCATACTGCCCACATCCAAACGTGTTGGTTTGTTTGGTTTGCTCTTTTCTTTCAAAGGGAGAAGAAGAAAGTTAGGCAGCTCGTTGGGCAGAAGGATGCCCTCCCCTCCAAAAAAGGAGGAAGGCTGATGAGGTGCCCCCCACCCCACCCCCCTGAGGAATTTGATCTGGACAGCAGGAGGGTCCCCGGCACACCTGCTCTGGAGTCCCCCCCATCCCTGCAGCAGCAACCCCGTGAGAGCCGCTCTCTCACGTCAAACGTGCAGGCCCTGGGAGGTGGCCTGGCTGGCACCAGGGAGCCTGGGGCATCCGTGGGACAACAAGGAAATGTCAGTGGGGACGTGGGGGGCGGGCTGCCTCCTGGACGCGGTTTCTGTGCTGCGGGCTCCCGCGGGGACGTTTGTCAGAGGGGGCGGCCGGCAGACAGGCCCGCGCGGGGAGGAGCCTCCATTCCGTCTCTGGCTGCCTTCGACCGCTGGCGGCAGGTGCCACCCGTGTCCGGCCTGAGAAATGGCCGTCCCGCGGGCACCTCCGTGAACATGTGTTATCGATCGGCTGTGTTCCCGCCCCGCCCCCGCCCCCAGAGCCAGAGAAGGGGAATAGAGAAGGCAGGGCCCGGCAGTGGGGTATCGGGGGGCTGCGGCCACCCCCGGGGGGAGACCATCTGCCTAACAGTCCTCACGGCTGCCCCCCTTCCCGTCGCCGTCCTGGCCCCAGAGGGACAACCCAGTGACCCTTCAGAAAGATGCGTGCCTCCTGCCATGTTTTATCCTCAGGGCAGTGGCGTGGCTATGATTCATTTTTCCCACCATTGACACATTGGACCTCCGTTAAATAGGACTGAAAGCAATTAATCAGGGGCAGAACTCCTGAGAGTCCCATTCATAAATAACCTCTTCCTTAGCCTCCCCGCCCCCCCACCCCGCCCACCACCTCCCCTAGCCCTGGGGTGTGCAG